AGGGAGTGGTTTGTGCGGGGAGAAGGGTGCAACAATGAATGAATGGAATTCCAAAATCTCTGTAGATGTTCATTGAAATGAAAAAGAAACAACCTAAATTAAAAAAAAAATAAAGTGCATACTAAACAGACCAAAAAAAAAAGAAAATAGCTTCATTTTTTTGGTCCTGTTGTTTTGATTTTTAAGAAAATCTTTATTCAAAGTGGTAAAAATTACTATGGTTTCTTTCAGCTTCAAAATTCTGACTCTCTTCTCTAAATCCTGACAGCACTAAAAACCAATTTCAGTATCTAGGTTATTTCAAGTCTGAGAAAAAGAACATATTTAGAATTCAAGTCGTGTTTTCTCCATAGTCCTCCTCTTCCACTCCCATGATCCATAAGAGAAAATTCAGTTTACCCCCTCATGCAGCTTTGGCATATAAAAGCTTTGTCTTGAATGACTCCAAACCAGATATTTGGCAACACATGTGAAGAAGAGCCAATTCATTCACTGTATCCAATTGCCATGGACAAAGTAAGTGGTGGAAGCCCCTACCATGATGGTGACCCAGGACTACACGAGGTAGGACTCATTCTTCTACGCCCAGGCTGAGGAAGAACTGCAGAGTTGGAACCCTTGCACTCTAAGATTGAAGCCTCAGCTATACCATTTTCTAGGTATATGAAGTTAGATAATTTAAGTTACTAATTTGAGCCCCAGCTTTTACCTCTGTGAAATGGTTCTAAGGCCTTCTAGGCATGTTGGAGAGCACAAATGTAGATAACGTGTAAAAAGAACCTAGCATGTTATGGGAATTCAGTAAAGAGTTTACCATTGTTTATGGTAATATCTATGTAATATCTTGGATGATAAGCAAGTTACAAGAGACATTTTTTCTCAAGCATTGGTTGCAGTATTTAAAAGTTGTGTAAAGGAACACTTTTTAGTCTTAAGGTACAGACCTCAAACCAAAACATAACCAATTTAAAACTCCCCAAAGTATGGTATTTTGGAAGCAGAATTACAGTATTCAGGAAGGTCATAGGGACCTTATTGATTGCCTAACTTTCTATATTTTACAGATAAGAAAATAGAAATCCAGAGAAGGTAAACTTACTTACATGCTTTAAGACACTAGCAGTTGCCTCCCCTCAATTTACTATCCTCTGCTTTCTTATTAAGAAAATATCAGTTTTATTTGGGAAAGAATTATGAACAGTTGCAAAACCCATTTTGCAGACTTCTTTGCAGTAACAGTGATGGTTCCAATGATAAGAAATAAGCAGAAGTTACCCAATTGGGCTTTTTGAAAGGCAGATTTCGCTTTTCGATTTCTTATCTGCCCTTTGATCTTTTTCTCTTTCTGACTGAAGAGTGGGTATGATGGCTAGGGTTCCAGCAGCAGCTAGAGGATATGCAGATGAAAATATCTCCTTGATTTGCTGCAGCACTCTCATAATATTTTTGGGTTCCTTACTTTCTGTCTTTCACTGGGGAGAGAAATAAACCCTTATCTTCTTTTAGTTATTAAACTGATATTTGAATTTCCTGTTTCACACAGTTATATTAAACCTTGATCTTATGCTTACTTACACTTCTTCAGAACCCAGACTTTCACACTCTCATAATAACTCCTTGATTCATAGATTCCCAGAGTCAATCTTATTATCTTGTTAGTAACTATGGCCAACACAGCCCACAGATCTGTTATAGAGAGCTGCTTACATATTCTCCAGAAATAGGGGTTGGAGAGAAATTCCTGGCCCAGTTCAGGCTCCAGGGCCCATTTAGGTCACTGATGACTTCATCTTCAGGAAATGTTCATATATATGTGAATAGATTTTTGCCTCTGCAGGTAACAGATAATAAGACCAGGTGAAATGATTTGCCCAGTGTGCCTGCTTCATGGTGTCCTGAATTTTCCACCCAGCTTTCATTAGATGTATCAGTTTGGCCTGCTCCAGAGAAAGGGACATTTGTGGCCTTAGCTATAGAAAGAGAATAACTGTGGTGGCCTGGTGGTTAGAAGTTGTGCTGCAATTCTGAAGGTGTGTATTTCGAATCCACAAGCTGCTCCACTGGAGAAGGATTGGCATTTTCCTCCTGTGTGAGTCATTTCTGACTCTATAGCATACAAAAACCACAACAACAAACAATAGTCTGGGGAGAGAGGATTAGACAAGACAACCTTTTAAGGATCCTTCCTATTCTGGGAATCAACGCTCATCTCCTTGGCCAATCAAATAACACATTGCATGTGTAGAAGGAGACTAGTAGCACTGCCTACTGATCAGGTTACTTCACCACAGCTGACAGGCATGAGAAACTCAACCTCTCTTCCCAGGAGTCTAACTGCAACTTCTCAGGAGTCACTAAATGCTGGAATCTTAGCTCCCCACACAGCTACTCTTCCCTGCACCCCACATGGTGCCTGAAACCTGAAGTTTCACTTGTTGCATTTTTTGGTTTGAGAGGAGATAGAGTAGCAGATGGGCAGGTACCTCCATGAAGGCTCAAATCCAAGACAGGTCCAGCAGTTGAAGGAGAGGTGGAGGCCGTGAGAATGCTTCTTTCTCTTCCTAGTGTAGTATTCCCCGTAAAACCCATTTGTTAGTCTTCATGATGAACCTTCTCCCTCCTTGTTTCAGTGGTCGTGAGTAATTCTTAGAAATGAACAGACCTTGAGTGGGTGCACCATGTGTTCCACCTACTCTGAAGCTTCTTGGTATATACTCAGCTTGATGATGCTCGTTTTCCTTTTCTTAGCTCACTGTCAGTATTATCAAGAGTAAAATGTGAAATGACCAAGGGGAAACAGTGTAAAGGGTTAGGTTCCCTGGAGAAAGATATCTCTTTATGCTCTTATTTAACATCTGAGCAAACAACTAACATGTGCTGTTGGGTGTTGGGATTTGTGCTCTCCTTGTGGCATGGTTTTGGGGATCATTTGAGCTTCTCGTACTCGGGGAGTGGTATGTGTCTATACATTTGTTTGTGTGAACCTATGTACTGTCTATCACTGAGGGCCAGTGGCTTGTTAGCGTTTTCTGGCCCTGACTATTCATTAACTTTCATTCCCCACTTTTGGTTCTGTGAGCCTGTGTCATGTGAGTGGAGGGACACTGTTAGTCTATCCAGCAGACCTGCCTGGGGCCCACACCTGTAAACATACTTAGCCTCTAAAGCCAGTGCGAACACACCAGCTGCCTCAGGAGCAGCTGCAGACGTCCCGGAATGCCTCAGAGTGCAGTTGCCGTACAAATCTGTGGTTGCCTGGAAGGGAAGACACTGGTTAATGAGTGAGTAATCATGCATTAGTGCTCCAAAACAGTATGGAGCAGGGAATTATCTTTTTCTTTTATTAAAACCATATGTCTTTCTGAAGAAGATTAAGATGAAGCCAAAGATAAGCTTAAGATTCATATTTTCTATTTTGCCAGAAATTTTCTCTCTTAGTTTATCAATACCAGGTGCAAAAGGGACATATATTGAATTTCATTTACTTTGTCTAAAGATAAAAATGAGCTAATTTTTAGAGGGGCAAAGCTGTGCCTATTATAGAGACAAGAAAAATATTTGTTTACTTCATCTTGGAAATAAACAATGTGGTGGAGAATGAGAAATTAATGCATTACCCAGAGCAAGGTGGTGGCAAGTTTTATGCAGTTAAGGCATTGCACCAGCATTTCTTTTCCCTTTATGAAGGAAACAATGCACATTCACAAAGAGAGAAGAAAGTTCTATGCCAGTCTAATGGCTACCTAGGATTGTTGTTCTTGTTAGGTCCCATTGAGCTGAGTACAGCTCATAGCAACTCTACGAACATCAGATCTGAAATCTGTCTTATATTGTGCCATCTTCACAATCTCTGACACACTGGAGCCCATTGCCCCAGTCACTGTGTCAATCCATGTGGCTGAGAATGTTCCTCTCTTGTGTCATCCCTTCACTTTCCCGAGCATGATGTTTCTCTCCAATACATAGCCTCTCCTAGCAACATGCCCAAAGTTTGTGAGGTGAAGTTTAACCATCTTTGCCTCCAATAAGCACTCTGGCTGCACAGTCTCTAAGACATATCTGTTTCTTCTTTTGGCAGTCCATTAGATATTCAGTACTCTTATCCACGTTGGAAAAAGCATCAATTATTCTTCTGTTGTCTTTATTCACTGATAATAATTATTTATTTACTGCCATTTTTTTATGACCTAGAATGATAAGTCATCAAAAGGAAAATGTTTCTCTAAACCTAAAATTCAGAGACAGATTCTGAGGCATGTTGAATTAAGACACTCAGTACGTGAGTGATTATCTTTGCTGCTCAGATTTAGAGGGGAGACCAAAAACCTCAACTTTAAAGGACTTTCAAAAAGAGGAAAACAATTTTCAAAGTTGGGAAGAGCCCAGGTTTTCACTGAGTTTATATATATAAGAACCAGTTTCTGTTGGTTCCCATTGAACACACAGGTATTAGAGAAGAACTGTGCACCATGGAGTTTTCAATAGCTGCCCTCTTTTTGAAGAAAGATGCCTCTAGATGAATTTGCGCTGCTATACTTTCAATTAGTAGCTGAGCATTTAAACTTGTGCATCACCTAGGGACCTCCAGTCATGGACAGGCTACAGGGAATCTTGGCATCTTTTTATCTGTAGGATCCTCAAGTGAATCAATTGAGGAACAAAGTAATTAGGGGGTTTTAAAGGTACCTATTGGGAAAAGTTACAAACGTCAGAGACAACTCAAGGCCCTTTACCAACCAAAGAAGAAAGAAAACCATAGTTAAGGGTTGAGGACAATAAACACCAAGGTCATTGTGTCTAGAGTAGGGAGGGAGGTAGAAAGGAAAAATATCATTAAATAGAACAGGATTTGAAGCCTTCCTTACTCATTCTTTTATGCTCTGCTCCTCTTTCTGCCCATGAAACTTGTGAAGCTTCTCTTTGCTTTGGAGGAACTATCTCACCTCCAAGCTTCCCTAAGATCCAGGAAGATCTAGGGAGGTGCAGAAGGGAGAAAGCTCTTAAGGTCTGGGTTTCTTCTTAGTGAAGAGATTTTCCTGGCTCACAGAGAGTGGAAAAATCACCAAGACAGGAACCCAGTTTAGAATTTGGGGATAAAAATATGAGTTGTTAAAAATGGTTTTGTTCTCTGCTTCTCTCTTTTTTTGGAATGCTCTAGGGGATGTAGGTGGCAAGTCAGTCTGTAAGTTATTATGATTTTTTCTTGGTTTCACTGAAGAAAGGCTGATATGTGAGTGAGAGAATCAGGCAGAGGAAAAGATCCAAAAGATTCCTTGTGTTATAGGTTCTACTTGGCCAGGAAGAGTTATTAAAAATTTATTAAATATAACTGAGCTCCATGATTCTTAATATGCTTTGTTTTGAAAATATCTTTTAAAGTGATGATGATCACAATTTATTTCCAGAGAAAATATGTGTGGACCATTTTTAGATGGTGAAGGATCCTAGAAGTCTATCCATGAGGCCACTTAAAAAGTAATGAGTTCTTAGTTCAGATGAGATGGTGGTTTATGCCCTGAGGTTTACAATTAGTTCTTCTTGTAAGTGGCTTGCTAGAACAACTCATTGTTTTTAAATACATAAAAAAATAATCAATGGGGACAACTTGGTAGAGCCATCATGTTCATGCTTCCATTTGTTTCTACCTTGATAACAAAACTTGGTCAGACAGATATTGGAAAAACAAAAATCAGTCTTTCCCCAGAGTATCTGCTAATTCTTTGTTGGGAGGAAAGGGGCTTTAGTGATTCCTTTGCTCCCGAGAGTCACACAGATGTCCTTGGCACCTTGTAGAAAGCAGGCATCCTCTGAGAACAAGGGTGAGATGTTGTCCATACTTACCACGCCAGCCTCGGGGTTTCGTTTCCTCCCGTTGCTGAAGGTGGAAGCCAGAGTGGAGGAGCAGCTCTCATCATAAAGGGCTGTTCTGCCGTCATTGATGGCTGAGTTGATAGAGATGGTCCACATGCTGGAGGCATAGCCATCACAGTTACAGTCATCATAGCTGCCACCATCTCCAGAGGCCCACACGTAGATGCTGCCTTTGCCCCCTCGACCCTGACAAACAGAGATAAACAGAAGGATAGAGAAATGGTGGTATTAAACTCGGCATGCACTGGACGAAGGCTGGGCCAAGCCTTGGAGGTGTCAGAGACGTAGGCTTTCTCAACAGCTGAAGGAAATGACCGGGTTATTTTTATTGGTGGTCGAAAATAACTATCCTCTGGCAGAGAATTGTGAGAATTTTTTTAGGAGAATCTCAATATAAAAAGTCATAGGAATTTACAGTACAACTTGAAGATAAAGAAGTAAAACAATACTGAAAGAATCTTTTTAAATAACAAAGAACTGCTATTTTAAAAGATATAAAGATTTTGCAGCAAAAATATCCAAAGCATATGGACAAGGCATTTGTATTAAATATGCACTATTTATTTTACAGTGATATATATTGTGTATGTTCATTTATTTACATCTTGGATATATGGTTATAAGCATAAAATATTTTTTACTCTGAAATACATAAATGATATACATATTTTTTAGTCCAATTAGATCATGATAGGTACTTCAAATAGTAAGGAAAATCATATGAGAAAATGAGAAAATAAAAATTAAACAAACAAACCCTAACAAAAAACCTCCTCAGTGCTGTCAAGTTGGAACTGACTCATAACTGACCTTCCATTTGTTTTCTGAGGCTGTAAATCACGAGGGAAGAGATTGCCTATCTTTGCTACTTGGAGCTACTGGTGTAATCAAGCCACCTGAGAAGCTTAGTGTTTGAATTAGCAGCAATAAACTCCTAAGGGCTATGCCACCAGAGGTCCCTTGACCAAATTAGAAAATAGAACAAATAAAGCTTTAAACACAGCCAGCTACACAACGATTATTTGTGATTGGTGTTAGCTGTCTTTGAGTGAGCTTGTTATGGCAAGTATTGTAAATACCTACAGTTAGTATTGAGTTTCTGTGCATACCGTGTTCTTATTGTTTAATTTCTCTTTTTTCCGCATCTCTTGTCTTCTATGACTACTCTTTTCTATCTCAACAATCCAGGAATGGGCATATGCATTTTACTTTCTAAGGCAGTGGAGTTTGAGTACTCTTTTTAAACTGCAAGTAGAGAGTATAAGGACAGAGATGATTTAAAGTGGGAGATGAAGAGCTGTGCACAGAACCTCTGGCCACTTCACAGTTCACTCTCTAGACTGCTTGGTTCCATCGATTGTGAGGAGGAGACAAATGGATGGTGTTGACAGAGAAAGTCTGACCTGCCTGACTTTGGGTATCAAGGTCAATCAGTAGATTAAAGATGAAGGTACAGGAGCTGGTGAGATGGACCAGATTGCCTCCAGGACTCTGCCTCTGACAGTGAGAAATTGTATTTTTTCTTGCTTCTAAGAGGACTTAATTAGCCTGCAAGTGTTTGAGCCAAGATGTTAACAAATGTTAATTCAAACCCTAATTGGGAATGGTCCTTGGTGTTTTGATAAATTGAAACTGGAAAAATGCCACCAAGACAAGCAACTGCTCTCAGAAACCAGAGCAGAGGAGGAAGTGGGCGATCTTTTCACAGTCTCTAGACAGACTCAGAAAGTAAAACACATGTAAGTCAGGACAAGTGAATGATGCTGACAACCTGTGCAACATTCTGTGAACCAATCTAAAGTATGCTACTAATGAGATGAAAAAAATTTTGCTAAAATTAAATCAGTGCTAAAATGTTCTCACCTAGGTGTAAGGAGAGTTTAAGTATGATTCCAATTATTCATGCTTCCTTGTGTTCATGTCCTTTTGCAATATGACTTTATAGCTCTTTTCATCAAGAAGTAAAGTCTATTCCATCAATTTCCAAATCTGAGATGGCCAGTTTGGTTAACACAATGTGATGGAAGCAATCCTGTGACACTTAAAAGCATATGTAAACGTATATGTAAAAAACCTCATTATTGTTGAGAACTAACCCTCCAGCAGGTTTTCAGTGACTAAATAATGTGGAAAGAGATTGTCCATCTTTATTCTATGGAACAGCTGGTGAATTCGTACCAACTGTCTTTGGGTTAGCAATGCAACTCCTTACCAGCTAGACTACAAGAACTCTCTCTTTGTATATACTAAAATCCCATGAGCCCTCAAACTCATTGTTATTGAGTTGAACTAACTCGTAGCTGATCCTCCAGTGGGTTTATCGTGCCTATAAATTGCACAAGAAGAGATTATCCATTTTTCTCACATAGAGCTGCTGTTGGATCCATACCATTAAAGAAGTTGCATCTTTGGGTTGGCAGAAGAACTTCTACCAATTATTCTCTCTTTCACTCCCTCTCTTTTTCTCTCTCCCTCCCTTCTCTCTCTCTTTCTCCCCTCTCTCTCTCTCCTTCCCTCCTCTCTCTCTTCCTCCCTTCTCTCTCTCTCTCTCTCCTCCTCCTCCTCCTCCTCCTTCTTCTTCTTCTTCTTTCTCTCTCTCTCTCTCTCTCTCTCTCTCTCTCTCTCTCTCCCTCCCTCCCCTCCCTTCTCCCCCCTAGATCCATTGCTGTTGAGTTGATTCTGACTTATAGTTACCCTTCATTGAATATTGAGGCTATAAGTCTTAACAGAAGGAGACTTTCAATCTTCTTCCTATGGAGAAACAGGTGGAGTTTAACTGCCTAGGGAACTCTGGTGGCCTAGTGGCAAGAAGCTGCACTGTAATCCTGAAGGTATACAGTTCAAGTCCACAAGCTGCTCAGTGGAAGGATGGGCAATTTCCTCTCATGCGATTAACTGCTTCTGAAAACCCGCTGGAGGGTCAGCTATGGGTCTGTTCTGATGCACTGATATACAACACAACAATCTTTTGTTTCGCCTGATCCAAGCCATGGCATTTTCAATTGCCTTCTGTGCATCTGAAAGTTGGACAATGAATAAGGACGACAGAAGAAAAATGAATGCTTTTGACTTGAGGTATTGGAGAAGGATATCCCCTGGGCTGCCAAAAGAACAAACAAGTTTGTTTTGGAGGAATAGCAACCAAAGTGCCCCTCACAGGCAAGGATGGTGAAACTTAGTCTCTCATATTTTGGACATATTATTAAGAAATCGTGCTGGAAATAGTAGAGGGTCAGTGGAGGATAGGAAGACCCTCTACACAATACATTGACAGTGACTGTAACACCGGGCATGAGCAAATGAAGATCATGAGGATGGTGCAGGACAGAGTTAAGTTCAGATCTGCTATTCATAGGGTGGCTGAGTCATAGTCCACTCAATGGCACCTAATAAGCTTGTGTTTAGCAGTGCAAGATGTATCACACTGTGTCACTAGAGCTCCTTGTATGTGTGTATCTCTATGTATCTATATATTTGCTATTGTTAAGTGCTATCTAGATTGATTTATCTCAAGGAAATAGTGTATGCGGTTGTAAAGGTCTCAAGTCTGTATGTCAAGCTTTAGGCTTGAGGTTCCCCCATGCAGCTGTGAATGCTAATACAGTCAAGATTGGCAGGGAAGATGGTAAGAAGGTGGATCACTGGCTGCAGAGCCTGATGAATGCTAAGAACCAGAGCTTAAGTGATGAGAAGCTGGGTGCAGGATCCAGAGTGTGGTGTCATGAGCTTGTTTTCAAAATGACTGTCCTAGTCATTGGCTTTGATTTAGTCATTGGATGGAAACCTTGATAAAATAAATTGCTATTGGTGTCACTGTTGTAAAACAGCACTAACCTTGGGGTTGAGGGGAGACTGAGAAAAATGGGATAAATAATGCACACTGCATTGAAACATATGAGGGGAAAAAACTGTTTTAAAGGATATGTAATTAAGTATTATTGTCATGACAGGAGTCCAGAATGAAGGGTGCATAGTGGAGTGGACCTGGGGCCAGGGATTGTAAAACAATGAAAGAATTTTTCTTTCCCTTTTCAAAGAGAAGAGGGTTCTGGGGGGAAGAGTGGACAGTGATAAAAGTGCAAGAATGAATGAATGGAAATCCAAAGTCTCTGTAAACTTTCATTGAAATTAATAACAAAAAAAAGAAAAAAGATAGGGGAAAATATTTAGAGAACTAAGTACACTACCACTTATTAACAATTTTTTTTTGCATATTGCTGAAATAATATACCATTAATCTTTTCAGATAAACCTTGAGACATTTAGATCTCCAGAATTGGTGTTCCTCTAGCTCTCTCATAGCTGACTATGGATTTTATTCAATTAGTATTTGTAGTGTTCCTACCATTAAACATTGTGCCAACTGTAAAAGATGCTAAGGTAAAATAAGTAAATGTATTTGCTTCAAACAAAAAAATAATTGCTATGAGATCAGTTGCCTTTTTACAACTCACCAAGTTTAAAATGAGCAGATTTAGGAGTGAAAGGGGGGGATCTCACTAATAGCAAAGAAGAGGAAGCAGAGAGTGCTGTGCATGTCCTGCGTGTGGCCTTTGGAGTCAGAGATTCCTGAGGCAGTCAGACTGCCTCCTCCAAAGCAGCCTCAGTGGAGAACCAGAGACCGATATGAGAGCGAGCTGACTTGGCACTGCTGCCCCACAGAACCCAAACCAGGGACCTTCACCTAAACTTACTGGAAGACTGAAGGGAGACATCATAATTTGCAGGACTAAGGGAATTTTAGGGAGTTCTGGTGGCCTAGTGGCAAGAAGCTGTGCTGCAATCCCAAAGGCATGCGGTTCAAGGCCACCAGCTGCTCTGCAATTGTGGACCAATCTTTCTGTGTGATTAACTGCTTTTGAAAACCTGTCAGAAAGTCAGCTAGGGATTGGTTCAGACTCTATGGTACACAACAACAAGGGAACTTTGTAGCACTAACTTAAACTGTGAGACTGAAGGACAAAGGGCTTGTATGTTCACTTGAGATGTTGTCTTGACTGAGTAATCCTGTTGCTAATGTGAATTGTAACCTGTTAATTTCCCTATTAAACCTCATAACTGTAAGGTTCTGTAAGACATATATGGCCACTGCAACAGATTTTTGGGCCCAATAATAGAGCAGTGTGATTGATGTTGGAATTAGTAGAGGTAGGTGTCAGACCTAGGGAGTCATGTCTAATCACATG